TCAGGCATCCATGCTACAGTCCAGACCTTCTTATTCAAATGAAAGCATCTTGCCTCAATGGCCCCCTTCACTTTCAGGACTGAGTCGGCTCCCTGACATGAAGTCTGTTAACGATATGATTCTGGCAGGCTTATCTCCTTCATTCGTGCCTGCTTGCCCCAACCTCCTTCACTACAGTCACATCCCGATTTTTGCAACTCTATCATTTGTCTCCATGCATTTATTTGCATGTGCCATTTTGTTTTTCCCCTGTCTGGAAGCCTCGCTCCCCACCACCCTTCCCAGGGTTAAGACTTATTTCTCAGCCTCGTTGGAGGCAGCTATGTTCTTGAAGCGCTGTCTGAATGTGTTCTGTGAGCTTGATGAGTCAACAGAAGCCCTAGCCCTTTGAGTTTTACGATGGTACTCTGCAGCCCAGTACACCATAAACCTATCCCCTCATTCTGCTTTCTCTCTTTACACTGTCTCCCTCTGAAAATCCATTTGGCCTCAGAGCTTCAACTTGCAAATCAATTAGACAGAAATGCCCCGGTTGTTATGTTGCAAGCACTTGCCTGGCTAATTCTCAGCTCTCTATACCTCATGTCTTCTCCTAAGCCAGGGACCACATTCCTGGCTGTTCACAGGATGGATATTTCCATCCGGACATCTTTGTGGAATCATATTTTTCTCGCCACATTCCTCCATGCTCTTTGTGGTTCAGGTGGAAATTTTTGATCATCACGGATTCCTTTCTTTTCTCTCCTCTAGATACCAATTCTGTCCATTCATTCTCTCCAGCCTAAACAAACAACAAACAAAACTCTTTGTTTTGTCTTTCTTTCCTTTCCGTAATTCAGATCTGGTTGTGATGGTTAATTTTCTGGGTCAGTTTGGCTAGTGTCCAGATAGTTGGTCTGATGTTGATATAAGGGTATTTTTTTTTTTAGAGGAGATTAACATTTAAGTGAGTAAATATTGAGTAAAGTGGATTACCCTCTATAATGTGTATGGGCCTCATCCAATCAGTTGAAGGCCTTAAAAGGGAAAAAGGATGAGGTCCTCAAAGAAAGCAGGAATTCTACCTACAATTCACCTTTGGACTCAAGTTGCAACATCACCTCTTCTCTGGGGCTCTCATCTGCTGGCTCACCCTACCGATTTTGTACTTGTCAGCCCCTGTAACTATGTGGGTCAATTCCTTAAAATAAACCTCTTTCTCTCTCCACACACACACTCCCCGTATTGGTTCCATTTCTCTGGACAACCTTGACTAATAATACACTGGTCCTACCTCCTAACTCAGCTCCCTGCCCCAGTACCCATTTCTCTCCAATGCACTCCAGTGATGCTCACTGATTTTTTTGTAATATTAATTTGCTCACATTTACGGAATCCCTGTTGTTCATGATGGATGGCTATGTCTCCTAAGCATCATACATTTGGGTATTTTCACCATGATATTTGACCTGAGTTTTCAGTGACCCATCCATATCCTTGTTTAGTTTATGTTTTTCAGTTTATATCAATCCTTCTACATTTTGGCAGGAATCTTGAATTTTAAGGTAAAAGCTTCTCCAGTTATATTATGGGTCTAGATCAAAAGGTGAAAAACAATTTTGTAGAAAGGTTTTGAGGTTTCCTCAACTCCCTCAAGCCACACAAGCTGATCCTTTTGGAAGCTAAATTTCCAAAATGGAAAGATTGAGAGGCATTACACAGACAGTTACACCTGTCCTGGGTCATCAATGCAGAGATGGCCCCTTCATGCCTCTGGGACTGTGGATGGTAGAGTGGATGGTGAAGTTTGTCACTAGTCCCTGTGCTGGGCCTGGGGTGGGGAGAATTAGAGTAAAGGGAGAAGAGGACAGAGGAAGATAACCCTCCAAATTTTCATAACTCACCCTCCGTTGTTTGAGAATGCCTCATTTCATTATTTGCTAGAATTCATTTCTGGAACATCTATTCTGAGGAAAATACGGGAAAGAAATATGGAGTTCCTTTGCATCAATTATCCCCTTTGTCAATATTATGACTTAGTCACCTTGTGGGGGAAATAAAGATGCTGATTCATGGTGATGTGACCCTCTTGTTACTTCTGGTTCCTTTTTTCCTATTGTATATCAAAACTCAGAGTCCATGGGAAGGGTATTTTCGCACTTAGAGAAGAACCTAAGAGGAACCTGTAAGTAAACTTTCAGAATATTTTGTTCTTGGAATTGCTTAAGAAAAATTTTTTTAATGTTTATTTATATTTGAGAGAGAGAGAGAGAGAGAGCACGAGTAGGGGAGGGGCAGAGAGAGAGGGAGACACAGAATCCGAAGCAGGCTCCAGGCTCTGAGCTGTCAGCACAGAGCCTGACGTGGGGCTCAAACTCACGGACCGTGAGATCGTGACCTGAGCTGAAGTCGGACGCTTAACTGACGGAGCCACCCAGGTGCCCCTGGAATTGTTTTTTTTAATGAAAAAAAAAAAAAGTTAGTAAATTGGAATATACAGTTGAGACCAGAGGATACTTTAAGCTCCTCCTCTGCCCCAGAGAGTTTATCTGTGTACAGAAATACCAGAAAGAAGTCTTTATTAATGCGGGCCGGAGGGATCCGAATACCCTCATCTGGGACTACCACAGCATGATAACCCTCTTACTAGAGCATCTTGGGTAAATTTGCCCATTCCCCAGGTTTTGAAGAATTGATCCCTGTTGGCCGAGCCTCTGGGGGTGGTGAGGAGCAGGGCCGGCCGGGACCTGCCGTGGAAGGCTGCCAGGCCTCACTGACAATGCCCCGCACAATGACAGACTGAATTGTTCCCTAAATGCTCTTCTGTTTACCTGGTAGCTTTCATTAATCTTTTCTTTCTTGTGTGAAGGTTGCTTCCAGGGAGGAAGGCATTTGCTGGCTTTCCCAAGGCAAGAACGATTAAAAGGAATGAGGAATTCACTCCACCTCAAAAGGAGGCCTCTGTGCCTGCTGGAGCGATTTTGGCAGTCTGAGAGAACAGTATGTTCCCAAATTATAAGTTTCCAAGAATTTAGGAAGGAAGGAAGGAAGGAAGGAAGGGAGATCGGGAGGGAGGGAGGAAGGAAGTGTTAGTCAAGAAATCCTCCATTCTTCCTTTGTCCCATTTACAGGTGCTGGGCTGGAAAACACCAGCCCCCAGAGCCAGATCTGCGGCTCTCTTGTGCCTTCCATTTCAGACTGTCGGGCTAGCAGCAATGTTAGAATTCATTTAGCCCAAGGGAGCTGTGGTCCTGAGAAGCGAAGTGACCTACCCAAGGTCACACAACTTGTCCTGGGTGGAAGCAGGCGAGGCCACAGGTCTCCCATCTCCCTGCCCTATGCTCTTTTCCTATTCCACTATGACCTTTAACCTTTGTCCCAACTTCCTTTCAGTCCTAAAGATGAGAGACAGGTTGGTGGGTAGATAGGTTCCCCCCGGGGGGTGAGCAAAGCCGGCTGGAGGAGCACAGAAAGACTAGAAGGATCACTAGTCTGGATTTCCTTTTCCCCAGGGTGTCTGCAGAATGCATCTGAGCTTGTGACGCATAAGCCGTTGGCTTCTGCATGGGAGCAGGGTCAGAATGAGTTGATCTCACTTAATGGAAATTTGGGGATGTCAGACAAGGCGAGCATTCCACATGTAGGGAAAGAGGGGAGCAGGACAATTGCCTAGATCTTGATCTGTAGCTCTTTCCACAAGGAAGTCACCTCGCCACCTTGATTTCTCCTGCACTTACAGTGAGGCTTCTGTCTGTCAGCCCCAGAGCAGCACTGGCGAAATGCATCTCCGATATCCCCCAATCTAGAAAGCTCCTAGGATAGGCCATTTCTTTGGAGGAGGCTCTAGTCATTATGTCATGGCTGCATTTGTCCTGGCTGCTGCCTGGGCTTTGTATGTGAAGCAAGGATGCGGTACAGCTCCAGAGTTGATGTGTGCTCAAAGAATGGTGCTCAGGAATGTTGGCCCCCCTGACTCCCCCACGAAGTGGATGAGCAGGGCTCCGAGGTCGGGGACTGGGGGCCTGTGCTGCTGCCTCTGGCATTCGACACCCCCTGGGGAAAACAGCCAGGGCCACTGTGTATGCACCTCACAGCCCATGCTTGCTATGCGGGGTTGATGGAGAAGCCTGGCCCTTCTGTTTCCCATGGCAACAGCTCAACTCTGCGTGAAAGCAGATAAGTGTGGGCTCAGGCTGGCTACACAAACTGCATGGGCTGCCTGGCTCTCGGCTTGGACCGGGGGCTCCTCATCACCAGCCCTATTTCCTTCCTCGTCCCCGCCCACCCAGCCCCACAAAAATTGCTTTAACCCATGAAAGAGAGGTGGGGCCTCAGTGATGCTCTCCTGTGGACTCTAGCTGTGGTTTTCCCACCCAGGGTGTGGCGCAAACTGTAGTTTAGGGATGAAGGCAGGAAAGCGGTAATTGCTCTTGGGATATTGCTGTTGGTAAAAGCAAGAAGCAGGTACTCTGTCCTGGGGAGACAAGGATGCTGAGTCAGGCAATAAACATTATCGATAATGGAGGCAAAACAAAGAGAAATTGCAGGTTAAAAGGATCAGGTTAGCCTTTTAGCAGCTCCCACAAGAAGCAATGGAGAGAGGGAGGGAGGGGCTCCGTCGGGTAAGCACCGACAGAGGGAAGGGAATAGAGTTAGAGATCTTTGGGGAAAATAAATATTCCCAAGGCATAGAGAAAAACCTTTATGCATGAGACTGGAAACTGGCCTACAGCATGATTTTAAAATGTCCCAGGGGATAAAACGAAGGAGAGGAGGAAGAATAAGGTAAGGAGGGAGGCAGAGCAGAGAAGAAGGAGCAGTGAGGACTCCCCAAAGACCAAGACTCGCAAACTGACAGTCAGTGGCCGAAAAGCAGCTAGAGTATTTAAAAAGTTTTTATGTGTGTATATATATACACACACACACATATATATATATATATATATACACACACACACACACACACACACACACACACACATATATATACACACATATCAGGAGATGTCACCCCCAAGAGTCTAGATTTCTGGCTTCTTTTGGAAAAAAAAAAAAACAACAGCAGAAAATTTGGCAACACTGGGACTCCATACAGGCTTGAAAAAAATCTGTTGGTTTGGAGGCTACTTTACCTATAACTGTAACTGGGGCCTGGGCTCTCTGGCCCCCAAGACCTACTGCCCATTGCTCTATACCCCTCACCCCAAGAAGTGTCTGTGCCTCCTGATTTCCTTTATTCTTTACAGTGCTTGTCTGACCCTTGTAAGTATTTACAATGCTGAGGGCTATCCACACTGCCCTGATTTTCCATCATATGACAGCCCGACCCTGCGACGTGCCACCCCCCCCCCCCGCCGCTCCCCAGCCCAACAGAAAGTGTGGGCACCTGCACTGAACATACCTCTCAGCTCCCTGATCCTGGGAGAGAACGATGGACCTGTGGCCTTGACCTCAGACCGGGATGGGCCTGACACCAAATGGGCTGGTTCAGGGGAGGAGTGAGCCTGAGCTTAACGCTGGCCGGAACAGTCTCTAAGGAAAACATGGAGTAGGACACAGCTGAGCAAAAGTGCCGGCCCGGGGAAAAGAGATCCCCAGTCAGCTCTGGAGGGTCCGCTGGGCATGTGCTGGCAGAGGGGGGTGGGGGCCACCAGATGCAGACGACAGTGCAAGGAGAGCTGACACCAGCACTGTGAAATCCACATTCTTGGATGCATGCGTGATTAGGGTTCTGGGAATATATTTCAAACAAATTTAGAAACCACTCCTTGGGGTGCCTGGGTGGCCCAGTCGGTTGAGCGTCCGACTTCGGCTCAGGTCATGACCTCACAGTTGGCGAGTTCGAGCCCTGCGTCGGGCTCTGTGCTGACAGCTCAGAGCCTGGAGCCTGCTTCGGATTCTGTGTCTCGCTCTCTCTCTCTGCCCCTCCCCCACTCATGCTCTGTCTGTCTGTCTGTCTCTCTCTCTCTCTCTCTGAAAAATAAAGATAAACGTTAAAAAAAAAAAGAAACTACTCCTTTAAGACGGTTTTAAGAGAGTCTAGGAAGCTGCCCATCTTGAACCCTCAGTGGCGCTTAAATGTGGGTCAGAATTCTAGTTCATCCACTTATCGGCTGTGTGACCTTGGGCAAGTTATTTAACCTCTCTGAGCCTCAGTTCGCTCATCTAAAATATATAGCTCCAATAATATCTATAATATCTAGAGCCGTGAAGATTAGAAATAAGGTACATCAGATGCGAAAACAGTGACCAGGCACTTGGTGAACAAATTGAGAGACATTACCTATTATTGTTGTTATTTTGCTAAGCCTGGGAGGCACAAGCAACAGTTTGTCCACTTTTCTATTTATGTATGTTGGGGTGCCTGAGGGCAAACTTGGTATATGGGAAAATTTTTTTTTTCTTTTTCTTTTTTTTGGCATGTGGGAAATTGTAACTCCATTACCCAGGAACACCGGTAAGGATTTTGAAACAGAGTTCGCAAAGAGTCAGAAGTGAGACGCTGATGTGATGGGAAAAGTGGGGGGAGAACTGGGGTCTCCCCCCCCCCCCAGCTCTGTCTCCATTGCCAGGACAGCCTCAGCCAGTCACTTTGCCTCGTTGGATTTTGTTTCCTCATCTGTGGAAATCAGCCGGCAAGGTGTCAATCATCTAGAGCTGTGCCCTTCAGTACCATGACACCAGCGACACGGGACTATTTAAATTTGAATTATTAAAATTAAATCAAGTTAAAAATTCAACTCCTCAGTCACACTGGCTCTATTTCAAGTGCTCAATCATCGCATATGGCTAGTGCTGACTGTGTTGGACAGCACAGATACAGAACATTTCCCTCGTCACAGAAAGTGCTATCAGACAGGGCGGAATTCAAGAGCTTGCTACCCAGTGCCTGTCCTCAGATAAGCAGCATCAGCCACCTGGGAACTTGCCAGAAAGACAAAGTCTCAGGTGCCATTCTAGACCTTTAGGACCAAAATCTGCATTGTAACAAGGCTGCCCCAGTGATCATAGACTCAAGTTTAAGATGCCCTGATCTGTAAGATTCCTTTTGGCTCTCAAAATGAAATTTAGGAATCTGGGTCTCTGCTTGACAAAGTCTATGGGAAAGAAAGGAGCAACTGACTTCTCCAAATCTGGATTCCCAGATTCGCCTCAAAGGAAAGAATTGGGGCCGTCCAAGGAAACTTTAACAGGACATCATACCTCTGCAGAAGAGGAAGGGAATCAGCAGACTTCTAAAGGAGCCATGGAAACAGCAGTGCTGGGAAGGCAGTGCAATCTCACTCCTGTCGCTATTCCTCCCTTGAACTTGGGGCATCCAGTTGTTGCTTGAAGACCTTCAGAGAATAGAAGTTCTCAAGTTCTCTTTTTTTTTTTTTTGTGGCCGCCAAAAAAAAACAAACAAACAAACAAGAAATGGGCTGCATTTACTGGGCACTTTCTGTCCTGGTCGTCTTAAGGGGCTTGCTAAAACTCTCCTCGTCCAACTACACCAGAAAGGAGCTCAGGCAGAACTGATATTCAAGTAGGGAAAATGAGAAACAGATTGGGGAAGAAATCAAGGCCACGTTCAACAATGACAGGAAGGGCAGACTGGACACCAGCTTCTGGACATGTGGTCCCAAGCCTAGGTCTGTGGCTTAAACTATAAAATAAGAGAGGATACACTCAATCCTCTCACTGCAGAAAGTTTTGGTGTCTTTTGGTGATGTGCTGTTTTCGGTACAAAAATAAGGAGGATAATATTAAATCTGTTGCTCATTAAGAAAACATGTGCCTCTTACAGGACAAAATTGCAGCTGTATATCTTATTTAATTGTTATTAGTTTGTATCGCCCAATGTTAAACTTTTAATGTGTCCGTAAATCTGTTTCTTACTGTCAGAGAAATATCTGTATTAGGAACACACTGTGCAAGAATGAAGACGAGAGAAGGGAAATATGAATCCAAAATACACATTATTAATTTTTTAGGAAGCCAGGAGAAGGGTGCCTCACGAAGCATATTAGAAAAAAAAAGCCAAAACAGCTGGGATTTCTGATTTGCTTGAGAGAAAAACCTGCTGAATCGAGACGCGGCCTTACAGGGCCATCTTCGGCAGGGGGAAAAGTGAGCAGGTAGAAATGGGTTTGTGATATACAGGTCAACTCTTAAACATGACGTCACTGGCAGAACGCGCCATGCTTTTCCAGCAGACACACAATGAGCTGAGTGTCCTGTCACATAAGCTGGAGTCATGGAATCTGGCCATGGCGCGGGGCGCAGGGAGCTGGACCGGGAGGCAGGGAGAGCAGGTCTGGACCCCACCACCGACTCTCTGGGTGTTCTGAGGCTCAGATTTCCGCGAGCCTCTGAGCCTCGGCTTCTGTGTCAAATGCAAAGAGCATTTCTCTTTGGGGGCTTCAGGGAGAGAGATGCTCTACATAAAGTGAACGGAATGGGCCGTTAATCCCTATTAGTGGATCATTTAGACAAATAAAGGTTTGGGGGTCAAACCCAAAGCTATGGCAAAGAAAGTGAACAGGGACATGGCTGGGAGGAGGGACAGCACTTCGGACCTGCTCTGATGCATCGTGTCCTGCCCACCTGCTCACCGCTGACAGCAGCTGTCCTCCCGTCCAGCCCACGAGGCAGCTGACTCTGGCTGGCAGTGCTGGGGAAGGTTCGGGGGCACAGGAGCCCTTTGGTGATTTCCAGGGGTCAAAACAGAGTGGGAGAGGGGTCAGTGCATGGAAGAACGACCAACCTCCAAACCAGCTTCCAAATCTGAAAGGAGGCAAGCGTGCAGGAGGAAAGACCTCCGTCCTTTTGCTGGTCCCTGTTCTAACAGCTATTCCAATTCCCCTCCGGACAGCGTGAGAATATCCTCTTACGTGGGATTCCGAATCTCTAAAAAGGCCGGTCCCACATGGTAATCACCCTTCTTCAACACTTCATTTCTCTCCAGGTCTCTTTTCTGTGCCGAGCGTTTCCCCTCACGTGACGGGAGCCGTACGCCCTCTACATTATTGTAGGAGAAACATCCACAGGTTTGTTCCTAACTTGCCTCTTTGTCCATCTCATTTCCACTCTTCACCAACTTCATTCAGCCTGAACACAAAAAGAATCGTTCCTTTTCCCTGAATTGTTCGGTTCATGCCCACTAGCCAATGCCTGGGCACCTCTCACACACTGAGTATAATCCTGACTCAAACATTGTCCAGCTATTCCAGAAATCCAGCCCCAGCTTATCCGATGTGAGAAGGGATGTATTTGACAGTGGTTTGTTTGTTTTTTTAAGTTTACTTATTATTTTGAGAGAGAGAGAGAGAGAGAGTACGTGCACACATGCATAAACTGGGGAGGGACAGAGAAAGAAAGAGAGAGAGAGAGAGAGAGAGAGAGAGAGAGAGAGAGAATTCCAAGCAGGCCCCACACCATCAGTGCAGAGCTGAATTCGGGGCTCAATCTCATGACCATGAGATCGTGACCTGAGCCAAAATCAAGAGTCAGATGCTTAACTGAGCCACCCAGGCGCCCTTATTTGACAGTGTTTAAAAACTGATCAATATCTTCTTTGAAATCCCACACATACCGTATGCTCTTTTTAGATACTTTCATGCCAATCAAGAAAGAAACGTCTCAAATTGATTTTATATCATTCCAAATGAACCCAAGACCGTCTGAGTGCATCACAGACCTAAAGATGCATGACTGACAGGATGGAAGCAGGCTCATTAGCACCTTCATTTTAATCCTGCCAGATCTGGGAATAAAGAAAAGGTGATTCGTTCAGTGACAAAACATTCTTATTTCCCTTGCAAGATTCTCAGAGAGCAACTGCCCTCAGAGGGTAAGGGCGGGCTGGAGGGTGTGGGTAAGACACAACTGTTCGTTACAGGGCAGAGACACAATGGCTTCCATCCGGTGCCTCATTTAGGTTTGGGTGCCCTTGGTACGCTTTCTGATCTGCAAGATCAGGGCAGAAAAAAATAGATGACTATCAAAAAGTGATCTTACATAAGGCAATGTGTTGAAATTTTAGCCTATTCATCAGCCTAGGGTTTATTTCAATTCTTAAGATCCATGATACAGTATTGCTGTTTTTATCAATTCACAACCAGTGCCTAAGAAAGCAGCACAGAATTCGGTGACTTCAGATAAATAAGCATTTATTACTACTCAAGTAGCTGTGCTCAGCTGATGGGCTGCCTGGTGACTGGCTGGTCTAGGAGGGCCCCCTTCAGGTGTTTGGCAGTTGGTTGGCTATTGGCTGGCTATTGGTTAGAGCCAAATCTGGTGAGATGGGCTCATTTACGTCCCCCCACACCCAAGCTGTCCATGTCCTAAGGTCCAGAGCCTGTTAGTATGTTATTTTACATAGTGATAGGGTCTCTACATATGGGATTAAGCTAAGGACCTTGAGATGGGGAGATGATCCAGGTTCATCTGGGTGGGCCCAATATATAATCACAGGGATCCTTCTAAAGGGAGGCAAGAGAATCAGAGTCCCAAAAGATAGAAGGATGGCAACAGAGGTCTGAGAGGAAAGAAGGTGCAACATTGCTGGCTTTGAAATGGAGGAGAGTCCAAGAGCTTCCGGATGCTGGAGAAAGTGAGAAATGGATTCTTCCCTGGAGCCTCCAGAAGGAACATAGCTCTCTGGACTCATTTTAGACTTCTGACTTGCAGAACTGTAAGAGAATAAACATGTGTTTCTATAAACCACTAAGCTTGTGGCAATTTGTTGCAGGAGACTAACACACCTGGACCTGTTAAAAAGTCAGTAGTAAGGTTCCAAGGGAGAAGAAGTGGATCATAGACTCAGGACTGGCACACTGTCACTTCTGCTGCGTTCTGTGGATCAAAGACATCACAAAGCCATTCCAAATTCAAGGGCTGGAGAAATAGACCCACCCACCTCTTATTGGATTCTGTTTCTCCCACCTCTTGACGGGAGAAGCTGTAAAGTGGCATTTAAAGGGATGAGGAGGGGTGCCTAGGTGGCTGTGTTGGTTAAGCATCTGACCCTCGATCTCAGCTCAGGTCCTGATCTCAGGGTTATAAGTTCAAACCCCACATTGGGCTCTGTGTTGGCTCTTCACTGGGCGTGAAGCCTACTTTAAAAAAGGGGGTGGTGGGGGGGGTGTGGAGGTAGAGATGGGTAAAGAATTACGGCCATTTTTTGCAACCAATCTACCCCCATGTCCTTTACACAGCGACAGAGGACATTCAAAAGCAGTGCCTGACCCTGGTTTCTTTTTTATTTCCAGGGACACAAGGAGCATGGGTGTCTTTACCTCAGGCGCTGATATCTTCCTAGGTCTCTGGGGGATGTATGTGTCTCCACGAAGCCCTGGATGGATGGACTTTATCCAACATTTGGGAGTGTGCTCTTTTGTTGCTCTCATTTCAGTGGGCCTCTTGTCTATGGCCTTTTCCGGGTGTCTGTCCACATTCATAGCCTTTAGCTCCTCCTGGATGGTCACTTGTGTTCTGCTTTGCTGCTCCAAGCATGCACGATGTTTCATTCTCCTCTTCTTCCTTTCCTGTGGCCTGCGGGAGGGCAGGAATGCTTTGATTGCAGCTGGCACAGGGATAGTAATCTTAGGACACGTGGAAAATATTTTTCATAACTTCAAAGGTCTCCTGGACAGTATGACTTGCAACCTACGGGCCAAGAGCTTTTCCATACATTTTCCACTTTTGAAAAAATATATTGAAGCCATTCAGTGGATTTATGGCCTTGCCACTCACCTAAGTCTATTTGATGACCTTATTTCTTGGAACCAGACTCTGGCAGTCTCTCTTTTCAGTCCCAGCCAAGCCCTGGAGGCACAGCTAAATGACACCAAAGGCCAAGTCCTGGGTGTCTTGTACCAGATGGTGACGGCAACAGAGGTATTGTCCTCCCTGGGACGGCAGCTCCTTGCCCTAGCAGGGCTTTTGCTGGTGCTACTTGGCACTGGCCTCTTCATGAAGCGATTTTTGGACCCTTGTGGTTGGAAGTTTGAAAATGTCTTCATCACGAAACAATTTGTTCGGTTCGATGAAATGGAGAGGCAACTGCAGAGGCCCTGTGTCCTCCCACTGAATAAGAAGGAAAGGAAAAAACACGTTGTCATCCCATCTTTCTGGCCGTCTCCTAAAGACAGGAAGAACCTGGGGCTGTTTTTCCTCCCCATTCTTACCCACCTCTACATCTGGGTGCTGTTTGCAGCCATAGATTATCTTCTGTATCAGCTCATTTTCTCAGTGGGCAAACATTTCCAAGGCTTGCCAGGGCTGGAGGTCCGCCTGAAACTGCACAGAGAGGTAAGCGTTCACAGGTGCTTCTTGCGATGCGTCCCGGCTATTTGCTGGCTTGCCTTGAAAAAGATCATGAACCTCCCAGAGCAGGGCACTGCCTTATTCACCTTGGGATTCCCACGATGGCACAGCGTCTGGCATGTAGAAGGAGCCCAACAATTGTTGGTTGAGTTGACTTGAAATCCTGTTGTTAGAGTATGATGTCATCCTGAAAATCTTTGGTCACCGTTTTAGTTTCCTGTGGCTGCTCTAACAAATTGACCCAAACTGGGTGGTTTGAAAGAACAAAAATTTATTCTCTTATAGTTCTGGGGGTAACAAGTCCAAAATCAGTACCACTGAGCTGAAATTAAGTGCGAGCAGGGCCACAATCACTTTGGACTCTAGGGAAGAATCTACTTGTTGCTTCTTACAGCGTCTGGTGGCTTGTTGGCTTTTCTTGGCTGTGGCCGCAACCCCCATCTTCACTTATGTCTTCACATTGTCTTCTCCGTGTATGTAAAATCTCTCTCTGCTTTCCTCTTAAAGGATGAATGTGATTGTGTTAAGGCTCACTGAGATAATCAGGGTAAATTCCCCATCTCGAGATCTTTATCTTGGTCACTACTGCAACGTCCCTTTTTTCCAAATAAAGTAACATGTATAGGTTTCAGGCCTTAGGATCTTATATCTCTGGAGAGAGGGAATTTTTTAGCTTTCTATAGTTAGCAAACACTGAAATGGGAGAATAGGTGTCTCTGATATGGGACGGAAAGTTGGTTCTCAAGCAAGAGTACCTGGCATGAACCTAGACCTGTGTCTCTCCCTTGGACCTGTGCAGGTAGACTTTGAGCAACTTCTGTGAATGAGAACTTCTTTTCTTTGCATCTTGAGTCCGTATGCAATATAGGAGGCCTGTCAATGCATCAGCACAGCATTTAAGAGGATGATCGCTGAAAAATGGGCTCCTAAGTGACCAGATATTATGGCTGGTGCTAGTATATGATAATACCCCCTAGAAAAGAAAATAAAAGAAGAGAAGAGAAGAGAAGAGAAGAGAAGAAAAGAAAAGAAAAGAAAAGAAAAGAAAAGAAAAGAAAAGAAAAGA